AAAATACAAATAAAAACCAATGTATTATCTCAATTGATCTTGATATTTTAGACTGACCGGAGGCCGTATTTCTACAAGAGTACGTTTATACATGGAGTCTAATGTGGAGGCCCGGCTTATTACACTTAGACGACATTGTTGCGTGAGGACGCAACTCTGGCCGCAAACCCACGCGGCGTCAACCCTATGTATAAATGGTGAACTTATCACGCCGACACTCACAGACGCTCCTTGAAACACACGATTCTTTCCCTTGAAGATGGCACTCACAATTGCCAAGCCTAAACTCTCCAAATATCTGGGGTTTACACTCTCTCACGGAATACCAGGAACATATGAAATCCCTGGTTGCAGCACTGTCCCTGGGTATTGCCTCCTTCCGCGCTTATGGCTTCCATGGCTTCAGCTGGTGTCAACACCCCCGCAACCGACTGGCGTTGTTCAAAATATTCTATCCACGGCTACATATGACCTCAACATTTTTGCCTAGGCTCCGCTTATTGGAAGAATGCACTAAAACCCCTGTTTGAGCACTATAGCTCAGCACTCATCGTAGCAGCAGCCATCAGCACGGGTACTAAATACTCTAGGCTTCCCAAACATCAAACAAACTTACTCCACTTTTGTGGCATGTTGTGTCCGCATGCGACCATTCACAAACTACCTCGTAGGTTGCCTGGGAATACAATTCGACTCAATGGCCAGCACAAACCCATGTCTCACCCCTCTGACGCATCCCGCCTGGGCCTACGACAAACCATCACTGCGCTTATCTATGCCCACCTGAAAACTGTATACAAACCACGGGCGGTCGTACACCCGGCCATTCAGCCCTCCGCCAAAGCTGTGACGACATTAGAAAGAACTCAACAAAACGCTGGTCCAACAAGGAGATTGCAGCAATAGCCCGGCGCGGCAATGACCCAGAGCCAATACCACTACCAACTGGTCATGGTCAAACCGCCAACCTAAAATCGGGACAAATTCAGACACGAGAGCTTCAACTGCTGCTTTGAGTTTACACAAAACCGGCTCTGTGCTATCATTGTGTCGAACAATATGTACATGTTCACATTGCTCGACAACCGCATCGACGGCTGTCTCTGCCCTGTCCGCCCCGGTGGCCACAAATTGATCACCAGTTACTTTGCCTGCATTCATCCATTTGATTCGACGCATCCTGGTAGACCCGAAACGGCCTTCAATTGGCCCTAACCGCATCCAGCAATTACAGGAGCGCCACGACTTCCACAGTATCTGCACCCTCCATGAACACCTTGTATCTTTTCTCTAGCATGTAGAATAACCCCCGTACCCACACTCATCTCTGACACGTCAACAGAAAGTATCATATACCCTGGCTAATCATGCTATTGAAGTACTACTTACAAATTCTAGTCCAAACCAAGTTATTGCGTCTGTTGGTTCCGCCTATGATATTTCCGATCCAGGCCAACCAGCACAAACTGAGTGCATCCGTGGTCTGGTGCGGCATCGGTTCACCCCCAACCTCGCTCCTCAACCAAATTATGACGGATATCCTGGTCCTACTAGATATTTCGTTCTCTGCACCAACCCATTCCACGGCACTACACGGTGCAGACCTGATCCGTACCACAAAGGCGAGTACGCTACTTATCAGGTCAGGTGGCACACACTCGATGGTGTCAGGTTTTTTGTCAGCACCGGCCTGAATTGACCCAGCGCATATCCTTCATCGTCGACTCACTTGGCTCAAGCTTCAAACGGGAATTTCCTGACGACTACTTTCCATCGATCTTCCCCGAACCACTACAACGGATATGAGAGCCTTACCATATGTACATACATTATAACTTATATCCTTTGAAATAAACAATTTTATCCTTACTACATAATGAAGGCTTTATTCAAAATTCAGACTCTGCGTATTTATGGCTGGCGACTAGATTCAGGGTGAATTTATAGAACATAAATATATTTAAAATGGAAATCAAAGCATTATTTTTTTATGTATCGTCGGGTATCCCATATATGTTTTTTTTTAAAAGAAAAGAATAGTGCGAAAACGGAAAATATTATCTGTGTATTTATTACTGTATTTATGACTCTCTCTATAGATTTTGTAGAACTTTCGACCTAAATTGAAAATATTTGAACCCCGTTTCGCTTTCAATAATAAGGTGTGAAATCTCATTGGCGGAAAGAATTGTAAATATTATATACACACAAGCTGCCGCTAATGAGATATTTTATACTATCCAGTGACGGACTGCCTAATAGCCTTCGACGCCACAATTCTCTGCACTTCGTACGTCGTACTGCACTCAGCTATATGACAACAGGTGGACGCACCTTCGTATCCGTGTGAAAATAGTCTCAATGAACCTAGATTGAAACGTATAGCAGGCTTTACAAGAGATCATGAGCGATTCAGAGCCGGACACTCAGCCCCACCCGGCCAGCGGACCACGCCCGGCACCTCCGACCAAACCAAACCGCCCTGCAGCTGGCACACACGTGCACGCACACACACCAACATCCCATGCAAGACCTACACCCGCCGTTAGACCTCGTCCCGCATCTCGTCCCACGCCGTCAGCGGGAATAGGAATAACACAATCCCATGGCACAGCCGCAAAGGAAGTCGAGACCTCCGATGGGGGGGAAGGCGGCAATTCAAACCCGCCCAGCGGCGATGGCTCGCCCGTAGCTAACAGAAGACCCACGGCTACGATGCCGAAAGACGCTAGGGAAGCTCGTGGTCGTGTTCAAGCCAAAGCAGAGGCACATAATAATGCGGTTGCCGAAGGCAGTGATGAGATGACAGTTCGAGGTGAGGACAAGGAAAAGGGAACAGAATCACATGATACGGATATACATACCGAACCCAGTGACATACACACCCAGGAAGGAGATACACAGTCTGTAAGTGGTATTACTGACAATGGAAAAAAACATAGTGAATCACAGAATGGAGAGGACTCCGATAATCACCTTGATAAAGAAGACTCGGAAGGCACGGCGACAACGGCTAGCGAAGTGCTCGAAGATGTCCCTGACCGTATTGGTGAGCAGACCAAACTTGAAGGCGAAGAAAATAAGGCGCATACAGAAGCAGTAGAAGAATCTGGTTCGAAAGTGAAAGACTCAGCCGACAGTAGCTCAAAGTCGTCGGTGAAAATAGGAGACGGGGCTGCAGATGTTTACACGGTCACAGAGAGTCAGCCAACTGCGCCCAGCAGGACATCTAAGTCATTGGATGCTCGTCCTCAGAGCATCGCTGTGTTTGGAAATAGCCCGGCGCTACATCCAGAGGATAATGAAAAGGTAGGCACACGGTTTGATTGCACTACGCTCCCGCAATACCATACCGGTTTGGTTTGTGAATTGCGAATGTATGCTTCTGTTTGTGTCACAGCTAAACACACATTTGAGTAACCGAATTGACCTGTGCGAATATTTGGATGTGGCTTTAATTGCACGATACTAGCTACTTAGTAGTTTGAGTTTAAGCTAGCAGTTGGCGTTAACATCAAAAAGTTTTGCGGGCTCTGCAAAGCGCGTCTCTGTGCAGTTTTGCTATAGTTACTAAATGAGCGCTCCGATTTGTCAGTCAAGGGCACATTCTATATTCGGTGAAGAGAAATTACCAAGTGCACCGTATTGCTGGTAATGTAATTTCCGATTTCAGCCCCGAGGGCAGTGATACAATAGGCGTAGTATTGTATGTATCAAAACGTGAGGACAAACTGAAACCGCACTAGAAATGCGCAGGATTCGTTTTGTAGTTCTGTGGGATCGATACCCCCTTTGTCCAAAGATACGAGTTTAGCTATTAGTGCAGTGCCCATGGTCAACCGAGAGTATGTCTGGCATGCGTTTGCACATGCAATTATTTGCTAGGCTTGACGCATACGATTCCATCAAACACGACTGCAATTGTTAAATGGTCTCCTCGTCTGTACATTGACGTGCAGGATGAGTCAATTCAATCGTTGGATTCAATTAAAGCCGCATTCGAGTCTTCCACGGCAGAGCATGGTGACAAGCCCTATCCACATGTACCTCCAAAACCGGGAAAACGTTTTATGATGCCGGGTGGCGCACCACAGTTCAATCCCTTTGCAGGTTTGTCACTTGTGAGCTATCCAATACAAATTGACCTTGCGCTGGTAGACTACGGATGGGGCACTGACGATTTTTGTAAGGTTATGAATGCGGTGAACGGTTCAATAAGCTGTTCTGAATTTATTGTGGTCACCGTTGCACAAATATCTTAATGCGATAAGGACCCTGATTATTGCATCCAATCTTGGTAGATGTTTGAATGATGATTATTACCGCCTTATGGATTTATATATACGAAACCACTTGTCGCGGCGATGTGAGCGTTAGTTCATCACACAATCTTTACTAGAAAACATCGGAAACACTTCTGATCGCTGCCGTTCGCTTGTACTGTTTATGCCAAATAGACACTATAAAGGGACCCAAAGAAGCAAAATATGCATTATACATCACTGCGATAGTTTGTGGTATTCAGTTTACCACGTGCAAATTTTGTGACATCCACAGGAATGGTAACCTACAAGGGGAAACGAAAGATGCAATATATACATTCAGTACGCGACAACACTCACTGCAGTGCACGATTCTGACTGATTATAATAGGCCTCTCTCAAACCACTGCATTTTGTATCCCTGACGGCATTTATAATGTATAGGAGGAGGCATGCCATCGAGACCTATTAAGCCTCGACCACGGGCGTCGGAAGATGAGAATCAGACAGCGCCAATCATTGCACATTCAGGACCCCAGTTTAATCCATTCGCCGCAGGTACGTGCACCGGAAGGCATGCTGTGCAAATAGATCTCGGTACGAGGAAGGCATTTAGTATACGAATGGCTTGTATGAGTTTGGTAGGTTGCTCACCGTCTTCTAAGTGTAGATAAGATCACATCTTGTGGCCAAAGTATCGCCCGTATGTGACAATTAGTTGCATGAAGGTTCGTGTGTATCACATCGCTGCATACATATGTACACGAGGATACAGACTGTATCCATTCACGTACCGATTGATTACCTGCTTTATACAGTTATGTTATGTGATGTGTTCACGGTCCGTGTAGTATACTAGCTGGAAGCAGCAGGTGTGGAGTAGTGTGCACCATGATATGCAGTAACCTATGTGACCCTGAAAGAGATAAATATAATACTCCATTGTTCTGCACGATCAACATACGTGCGTGTATCTGTTGAAATATGCTGTGAACTCGTATTTATTATATATTGTTGTTCGACCACATTATGCGGACAGGCAACGGCACAATACTGAAAATTCATAGCAGTAATGTTAAATTTATAATACATTTATACCTGATCTCGAAACTTTTCGCACCGAGTTTTACTATATTACCTCTGAAGAGAATGAACGCCTCTTGATACTCACGCAACAATCTCATTCACCATTCGGAATTTTATTCCTGGATACAGCTGGAGCATTCGCAAAGTTGAAGAAAAAAACAGCATCGACAGGGTATGGTTGCATTATTATTGCACAAATTCAGCTTGATTCGTATACCACTGAATCAAGTGTATATTTAATGCACCCCCCCCCCCCCTCCTCCTCTTTTTTATAGTCCGATTCGGTGCAGACTTCCGATTCAGTGACTTTCGGTTTTGAAAAACCTTGTGAAACTTGTCAATTCTGATCGACCATGTGACACAAGGGAAGGCATGGGGAAATTGGACACAATTTGATGCGGTCTCGCGTTGCACTTGCTCAAAGTATTATACCTAATCACCCATAGGGATGTTGGGGATGCCAAATCACCGATAGCAGGATCACCAGTGAACAGTCGGAAAGTGGGGTCCAAAATTGCAGCCTTGCAGGCCAAAATGTCGGCCAGCATGAGAGAGGTATCGAACTATCTGTTTCTGAACTACTTTGTCACCAGCTGGTGTGCCAAAATGTGCTTGCCATGTGTACGTGATCTTTAGCGTTTTATTCAAGGCACCACGGGCAGAACAGATCAGTGCTTGGTCTTCTATCGGCTTGTTGGGCCTTTCAAAATTTCGATTTGAAAAACAAAACTCGAAACTTGAAGGGAAAATGCGTATTGCGGTGTTACGTATCTCAATGGTCTACTTCCTTTGGAACAGGCGGAAGAAAAGCAGCTGGCCAAGGAAGAAGAAGAGAGGAAAGAGAAGGAGGCAGCCGAAGCTGGTATGTCTGTCTGAAAATGGACCAGTAGTATATTTCTGAGTGAACCGATTGCTCTGCACACCTTGCTGTCCACAGGTATAAGGCGACAATTCACGTATGTGTAATAAGGTTCTGTTGAGCGTTTGCTCATCTCTCATGCAAATCCTTTCACAGCTGGCAATTTAGCACCCACATCTAAGATAACAACAGCTCGGAAGCCCGGTCGAGCAGGAGGTGCACGTCCTGGCCGACGCGCGCCAACGCGAGCCAATCCAGTATTTTTGACCGATGGTTCTGTACAGCGAATCAACTACACGGCTACGTCTACGGCCAAGGAAGTGGTGGCAATGGTTGCTGATCGGGTAGATGCGACTGGCGTTACGGATGCTGATGACTACGAGATACTTGAGGTGACCCAAGCAGAGGAAGGCGAGAGTGACACCCACAGAGCTATGAACGATGACGAAGTGCTTGCCAAAGTTAAAGATACCTGGTCAACACCCGACAGCAGTAGATTCGTGTGGGCCAAAAAGGGTGATACCTTCGCAGTCACCTGGCCCGAGAGTACGAAAAAGTCTGGGGAAGGGGAAGAACCTAAAATGGAGACGAGTGCCGAGGATGCAGATAATCCCATAGACACGAGTGAAGACAAGGTCGACGTGACGACACAACACGGTAAGCATATCGATGACTGTTTATTCAAAGCGTATTTTTCTAGCCTAGTGAGTATCCGGTTGAGCATCCCCTCTTAGTTACACTGCGGATTGAGCAAATAACTTTGTCTGCATAGGTATCCATAAAAACTTAGCATCGTCGAGATTCGCTGCAGGAAATTGGTTGTCGAGTACGTGTCGTTTGTTATGTGACTAACGGAAACTATACCCTGTAATTGCTTGCTAGTAGAAAGTACAGTGGATCCCACTGAGTGTCCCGAAACGACGGAAGTACAAGAGCAGGATGCTGATGAGCTCAAGCGAGAGTCGATCGATGATGATTCGGACAACACGCATGACCAAAAAAAAGAAGAAAATAGTGAACAGGAAAGCGGCAGCGACGAAATTAAGGAGACACCTGCCAGCCCTTAACGATACAATTTATCTTAAAATCAATAAGCCATTAAAGTAACGAACATAGTACTTTTTATTTGGGTTGCACCTGCCCAAAGTATTCAAATTAAGCACTTTCTAGGCTTTTTTTCACCGACAAGGACTTGTTAGTCGCTGTAGACATAGCCGAGGTGCAGGTGAGTCTTCGATGCCTTACAAATCTGTATGGCTCTCAACGTTGATATTGTATATCCTCTACAAGGCTTGCTCCACTTGCAGTAGAAACAGATCCTCAGCCATTTTCTAAGACCTGAATCTTGACACTTTTTCTCAGTATCCATCTGAAGGTATGCGACTGTATAACCATTAAGAACAAGAAGGCGATGAGCTCCCATCTATTATTTTTCGAGAGTTAGTGCAACACGAGAGTCGCGTCAATATGTCTGACTATACCTCAATACCGAGCGTATACACTCCAGGATGCATTGGCCGTCATCATCTGGCCTTCGGCTGCAAACCCATCTTCCCTTTCGCGCCAACCACAACTCTCTCTCGCGGACACTTGAACTGCGAATAGAAGGGTTGTAATGTTATGTGTAATATCGATAAGTTTCACGAAAGGCAATGTGAAGATTGACTTGGATGGTCTATAGTCTTCACACCCATGGTGAACAATTCCTGCACGATAAATGAGATTCACTACCTGAGCGAAGTGATAAATGAATAAAAGCAAGAGCACAGTATCAGAGGAATGCACTCTACACCCTCATGAAATTCGAAAGCTACACTATGAGTCGCTACGATCATATGGTACATTCCACCGGCATTTGCGCTCCACACATACCACGGTCACTCCTTTCGGCACCAGCAATAGGACATTGCACTGTCCACCACAGTGAACAAACTCGTAATCCTCGTTTATAGGCTTTGCGTGTTTGCGGGGTGTCCATTGTTTGCAGCGTGGGCATCTGAGATGGAAATCAATTTATCAGCGGATGAGCCTGTGAACACAACCAGGTGCTTGCAACAAAACACATCAACACTGAAGACAACTTCACACAACCGATATTCCTCGTGTCTATGTTTACGGGCAGATGTCTATGTTTACGCACAGATATTGTCGAATATAAACAGATATAACTCTCTTAGTTGCTGACGTCAACTCTAGCCATCAGGCTATCGTAAAAGATAAGAGATGTACATTCGATCGACGACAATAAAGACGCAATGCAGACATACCTTATAAATTTAACTGTAGGATCTTTGTAAACGCAGTTTTGACCGCATCCCATGCAGCGAACAGTGTTTGTTCCTGTAAGTATGGCGAACTTGCCCTTACTGGTCCCTGTAGAACATAGAGTACAAAAATATTTAAATCGTCTAATGGCGATAGCATGATTTTGGCAGTAGGAGCGGCCTTTCAGGACCAAGGATTACTTGAAATACATAACGACTACAGATGTGGTGCAGGATCAACTAGGATGTATACAAAATTGCCACTAGAAATTTGAACTCGATAGATAAGCAAAAACCTACTATATGTATCGTGAATTCACACAGACAGAAATGTCCGACAAAAACAGGCATGAACTGGCGATAACGACAAAATCAATTGACAAAGGCGAAAAAATAAACTATCCCATACACTCTTTTAGCACACATAGCCCCACTTTGCAGTTGACGTACCCCAGATATTGTGCATCTATCATTTCATTTTGATTGTTACGGTAAAAAAGATCGTCGCTGTACTCCTAAGCATGTGTATGTACTACTGTTCGCACTGGCCAAACACCTGCAAAAGAAAATAATAAAATACCATTTGTACATTGAACCTAACTTGGACAGCCACCGATCACAAATGTTCTGATACAAAAACCATAAATCGTTCTACCAGTCTTGACAATAATGTGAAGCACACCCGTACAAACTCAGATGTTCTACACCTGAATACAAGTACCTTCAAACCGCTGGTCCATTTCTTCTGTAGACGGCTCCATTCCCCATGGAACAGTCGGATTTGGGTCAGACGAGGACGCCGTAGCGGCAGCAGGAGTATCCGCAGCATAGTCTGGAGGGGGTGCGGGGTATCCCATAGGCGGTTCACCCTTTTTCATAGTCTCTGCCTCGTGTTGATCGTATGTCGGCACGGCCGGTCCACCTGAAGTATAGGCACATTATAAAGAAGTGATCTCAGAATGCAACCAGTGTGATATGTAGCTCAGTAGACGAGATAGTAGTCACCACAGCCGATACCAATGCGATGGTTGGACAGCTTCAGTGGGGTGATAAGGCAAGTCCAAACATGACCGAGCGTGTGTTTGTGTGCTTTCCGCATTTGCTGAGCATCTACAGTCTTGCCTAACGTGTATGATGTCGTGAATTCCGCCAACGAAATGAAATAAACAAGTCAAAGCCTTCTGATATAACACCTCATAAAATGAAAAGCAAAGACTACCTTCACAAGTACGAAAAAACTTCACAATTATCAACGGATGACAAAAACTGAGGCAGCGTCAGTAGATAAATTGACTAGATATCAGTAAGTCACTCCGATATCAAGCAAGTCGAATAATATTTGGAAACAACTGGTACACAAAAACGAACACGCATCTGAAAGGTTTCTATAAACAAGATTCAATACAAAAACTTGCTGAACAGTCAACCAAATCAAGAGGTTGTAGACTACATACAAAAGGCTTCAATATTCTCATTTGTTATTTTACGGAAAATTCACGAGCAAATCATGGAACAAAATAGCAAGCAGAATACCACGGAACATCTAATGCAACGCAACAAACCTTGCTGGAGGTATGGGGAGTGCGACCCCGCAGGCGGTGGTGGAGGGTAAGATGTGTTTGGTGGCGGATACACGGGCGGGTAACCATACACTGGTGGCGGCGCAGCAGCGTTGTTCCCTGGACCATAAAAACCAACGTTAGACTAAAATTAAAATGCGTTGACACACGTACACACACACACACACACATACACACACGCACACGCACACGCACACGCAAACGCACACACAGACACAGACACAGACACAGACATATATGTATATATATATTTATTGATATAAACACATACATAAATACATAATCACGTTCATATATACATACTTACGTACACACATAGATACATAGATACATAGATAAAATAATATAAATAAATAACGACAAACATAAAGTTGAAGATAAAGATATATATATATATATACATACATACACATAATTACATACATACATACACATATACATACATATACATATACATACACACACATACACACACACACACACACAC